TCACTGACCAATTCTGAAAATTAGAAACAAATCGTTACTTATTAGTATTTCAAAAGAAAGTTGATAACTTAGAACTGAACTTCAAATGCTGCGTGAAACTAACAGCACACCTCGTGGAAGGCTTCCAGCACAACATTTAAGAACTGAATTAGAGCTTTCGAATCCTCGAATAGCTCACACTTTTGTTCCACCATCCACTGCGATTCGTTGCAAACACTGGAAACGCAAGACGCATAATTTCAGAAATAATGTTGCCGACTGCAAACTTCTATGAAACGACGACTCCAAAATAATGACTGATCATCACAAGGATCAAATAAATCAACCTAATTTCGTCAGAGTACACTAAAAATCCACTTCATTAACAATTGAATGAAACTATTGTAAAAACACAGTGCATAACTATCCTAAACGATAATGAAATTTAAATAAATATACTGTGCAAAAGACAACACAAACAATTTACATGAATCAATTGGTATATGTTCAGTAACCTTTCAAGGAAGCTGTTACATTTGGTCAATAGCACTTGACTGTCGACAGTTTCAACTTGTAAAGATGCACACTGCTCGTTGGCTGATTCAATTTCAGGCAACAAACACTTCGAGAATGATAACGCTTCGTTGTTCAAGTAATCCATCAACATTTCTAGAAATGAATCCATCTGACAGTTTAAAGAATTCTTTCAATCATTCCTTTTTTTTCTTTCAATCTTAATAATCCTTTGTCCGCAAGATGATGAATCGAGTTTATCCGCGAAATGATGAAGCGAATGAAATGACGTTCCCTTACTTGGAATCCAATTTCGATTTCTGAAAATACGCAATGTATTCGTCAATTGACCATTCACGAATAGACGTTGTACGCATTCAAATGTATGCCGAATACGCCAAACAATATCGATTAACGACTGTGAACCAACGGAAAGATCTCGTTTGACTGTCTGAAAAGTAAGATTCATTCAGCTGAATACGGTCATCATCAGAACATCCGAAAAGCAAATTATTAAACATAACCAAAAACAAAATTGAGCAATACTTCAAAAGACAAAAACAAGTAACCATTTTCTGCCGTAGAAAAATGTCAAGAAGCTGTTCGATGGAGCACTTGGTGAGTATTGCAATTGCTGTTAGCTGATTGGTGACTTGATCGGGATGATCAATCGTGCTCAGTTCCGACATTAATTCTTTCTCCAATTTCAGTTTTGCAGCAATTAAACGCTTCGACATCGACCGTACAAAACCACCAAAATGCCTCAGTTCATTCGTCTTCGTTTCGACACTCAAACTTCGATGCATATTTCCAACTATAATCAGGACGTACGCATCTGTCAAAGGGTCCATGGTACCAACCTGAAACGTTAGTAATTTTATAAATATAACATCAGTATTCACATATAGTTCTGTCAAAGAATTATTCAGCTATAGATATATATAAAGAAACACATTAAAGAGGACAAGTGCAACAGGATAAATTCGAAAATATGCCATCTACTTT